GATTCTTCAACCTTGACCTTTGTAAAGCCGAAATTAATCTAACCCAGTTGATGGAAACACAATTTGTTAACGATTTCTATCTTTTAATGATTCTAGCTAAAATCCCAATTCTTGGGGTGTGATTATGGTTTGATTTAGCTACTGGGTATTGTTAATTGATAGTTTAAATGCTGTTTAAAAGTGATTTCATTCAATAATTGTGGCTTAATCTAAAGGGTTGTAGTTGTAAATGCAACTCTACCTTCGTGTTTTTGGCTTGCTCGAGAGAGAGGTATTAAAACCAAGATTACTGATTTGATGGTCTGTGTGTATTGGGTTGTCATGGGTTCAGCTCGAGAGAGTGAATCCTAAACCATTTTCAACACATTCATCTCGAGAGAGTGAATGTACTAAAGCGTAGGCTTTTCTTAATTGCTGCTTATTGGTGTTCGAGAGAAACCAATTTGATTCGGGGTAAATTGTTTGAGAGAAAGTTTATCATCACTTAAGTCTAGCTTATTCACTGATTTACAACTATTTACTATCAGTTGCAATCACCCATTTGTCTACCTTAGCCCATAATCCAATCACATCCCAAGAACCCGTTTCTATACTTGCTATTTTTGTGTTATTTACTGTTGTAGTTGATAATTACAATCAAAATCCCCCTGTTATTTGACACTTGTGTCACCCTAAACTTGAACCATGATTTTATTTGTAAATGTTTTTACCTATGATTGACTTAAACATATTTTTGCTTTTCTATTAATCCTCAAGTACGTACCACTCACTGTGGGATTTGACCCCAACTCACTTAGTTAGGTTATATTACTGACTAACGATCGTTGGCACTTTATATTGGATGAAGTGTCCTAATATGTGAAATCAAAATGGCACCGCTGTTGTTGATAGTTGATAGTTACAATCAAAAGCCCCTGTTATTTGACACTTGTGTCACCCCAAACTTGAACCATGATTTTATTTGTAAATGTTTTTACCTATGATTGACTTAAACATATTCATGCTTTTCTATTGATCCTCAAGTACATACCACTCACTGTGGGATTCGACCCCAACTCACTTAGTTGGGTTATATTACTGACTAACGATCGTTGGCACTTTGTATTGGATGAAGTGTCCTAATATGTGAAATCAAAATGGCACCGCTGTTGTAGTTGATAATTACAATCAAAACCCCCTGTTATTTGACACTTGTGTCACCCCAAACTTGAACCATGATTTTATTTGTAAATGTTTTTACCTATGATTGACTTAAACATATTCATGCTTTTCTATTGATCCTCAAGTACGTACCACTCACTGTGGGATTCGACCACAACTCACTTAGTTGGGTTATATTACTAACTAACTATTGTTGGCACTTTGTATTGGATGAAGTGTCCTAATATGTAAAATCAAAATGGCACCGCTACCAGGGAGTGGTGTTGTTTGAGAATTTTTAGTTAAGTTGAACTTTATTTTTGTTAGTCATAGTTGAACTTACTTAATTTTAACCATTGGTTTGTGTGTTGCTGTTTTGAGCAGAATGACGGAGCATGTCTTGTAGCAATGGTGACCAAATAGACCTCTCTCTTCTATGAGAGATGTTATCCCTAAGAATCATGTCTTGTAGCAATGGTGACCAAATAGACCTCTCTCTTCTATGAGAATGATGATTCTTAGGGATAACATCCTAAGTTTCAGGAAAATAGAGGGTGAGTCAATCCATGAGTTGTGCCTGAGATTTAAGTCACTATTGATGCAGTGCCCAACTCATGGAATCTCAGATAACAAGCTATTGGACTGCTTTTATAGAGGTCTTGGTCAAGAAAACAGAGGAGTAGCTGACCAAATGTCTCCGAGGGGTTTCTCACGGCTACTCTATGCAATAGCAACACATCTCCTTGATCACATGGCCAAGACCAGCAAGGAGACTGAAAAGGACCAGATTTTGGCCATACTGTTGACTTAGATGGATCTAGTGGCCAAAAATATCATGGAATTGGAAGAATCGGACAAAAAGAAATGCCGGTACATTCCCTCTCACGAGCGTATGAAACCCAAGGTGTACGAGGGTGGACAGATAGAAGAAATACTCTCACTTATCTTCACGAACTCAAAAATCACGACTAAGTGTTGAATGAGATAAAAGAGAATGTTTCACTGTTGAATGAGATGACTGCTTCCCATTCCATATCTGTTCAGCTGTTGGAGACCCAAATTGTTCATGTGTTGTCTCGTCTCTACCCCACAAAACAATATTAAGTAGGAACTATGTCGTGCCACGACGTTAACTAAGGCGCTTCTTGGGAGGCAACCCAAGGTTTTATCGCTTTATTTTTTATTTAGAAATAATGATGTGTGATTGTGCAGGTCAGAGTGTGGGAGGTGTTTGGAAAGTGCAGGTTGGAGAGCTGATAGTCTAGTCGGTGCATTGCTAAAGTGGTCGGCGAACCCAACCTAGACCGCCGTTGGACTCAAGACAATATTAAATTGGACTTTGTAAAACTTTTAGCGAGCCCAGGAGCTACTTGGAAAATCGCCGACCAGATCGGCGAACGCGATCTAGTCCGGCGTTTGGACCCCTACATTAACTGGAGGTCCTGTAAAACTCGGCGAGGTAAATGTAGGTCGGCGAGCAAAACTAATGTCGTCGAATTGACGAGAACTGGATGGTTTTTAAAAGCCAAAGGTTTAAACTTTTAAACTCTTTCACTTTCCCTCAGTTTTGATCTTCCTCCAAAACTCACACCCGCAAAGTATTTCCTTTATTTCCTGCATTTTTATCGTATTTGAGTCGTTCATTGTGTGTTCGAAGTAGATTACTTTGCCGTCTAACATTTCAATCTTGATTATTCGACATCTAAGATTGGTTTTCCGAAACTCGAGTTTATTTATAGCAATTTGTACTCATTTGCTAGTAATTTGATCTTAATGATGTGTGCTGGGCCTGTCTGATCTTAACTGTTTGTGTATGTGCCTGTGTTAATTTGAAAATCTTTCCCGTAATGTTTATACTATTGAGTTCCAGTGATTTTGTGCCTTAAAATTGGTTAAAATTTGTGGGGTTGTGCTTGCATGTTGTTGGGTCTAGTCAGGTGAAGTCTAGTATCCCGTATTTATGCCAAATGACGTATGTTGCCCAATGATGTAGCGGTTGATGTCATTCTTAAGGGCAAAAGTCGTCAAATGGCTAAATTTGGCCAAACCGGGAGAAGTCTTAGTATCCCGGGGGCATGGGTGTATTCGGTCTGAGCTTAATTTGATAAGTGTGTGTTTTGATTTTGTTTGAGGGGATTGCAGGATTGAATTTGAGAAGTTGGGTTGAAATTAGGCACGTTGGGTCGTTTGGCGAGCTGGGTTGAGATCACCAAACCACTTGGCGGTTCGCCGAAGTTCCCCATCTCGCCTTTAATTTCATGCTAAATGAGTAGTTTGGTTCTGTAACTTTCGGCGAGAAGCTTGAGGTCACCAAAAATACTCGGCGACTCACCGATAGTTCTTTTTCATCCCCCTTTGTCTGCATCCCTGAACCTTAATTGCACTTTAACTTTCGGCGGGCTAATCCTTGCTTGCTAACCGGTTCGGCGAGTTTGTCTGCAATTGTTTTTCTGTGTTTTTGATTAAATTGTTTTTAACTTTATCCCGATGTTTTTGCAGACATGGTAAGGACAAACATCGACTTGCCACCCCAAAAAAGAGCACGGGGTATCATAATTAGTGAAGAGGGATCAAATCCTCCCAAAAGAGGAAGACAAGAGCCTCCAACTGGAGGTCAGAGCAGAGGCAATAGACCCACAGTTGAAAAAGTGGATGCTGACTCTCGAGCTGCTTTATCTGATCTTGAGGATGACCAGCCTTTACAGTCCTGGCGGGCTGAGATCCGGGCTAGATCTAACCCTGACTCAGCTAGAGTCCCCTCAGCTTCCACCCTAGCATGTTCAGTACCAGCTCCGGCACCTCTTGTGGCTTTTGTGCCACTAGTCGTTCCCCCTCCCAGACTTTTCAAAAGGTTAAAAGGTGATGGATTGTGAACTATCCCCGAGTAGAAGTTATTATCTACGGAGGGCCTAGAGGGAAGATACTCAAGTGTGAGGGAGATACTGCAGTGGCACAAATTTCAGATTTTCACGAGGCCTTGAGGTCCCTATATTCCTCTGTGGGATCGAGAATTCTATACAGTGTATGGTGACTTGGTCCCGAAGAGCAAGAAGAAAGCCAGCGAGTTTAGACTGGTTAAGTCGGTCAGGTTTGAGGTGTGGAAGTTGTATGCTGCAGCGATATCATAAACGCTATCCTTGAGAGAGCCACCGGATTTGAGCATGATTATGAGGGCTTGGCGATAGCTAGTCTCTGGATTACTTGAAGGGTTGGCTTGCCCCCTTCTTTCTGACGTCACCCTGAGGTGGATAGAGGCGGCAGTCCAGATCGAGAAGAAGGATTTGAATGTAGCTGCCCGGTATTGCTTCAGATTCATCAGCAGCTCCATAATGCCTTCACAGAATGAATCCATCCTCCGACATGTGAAGGCAACTTGTTTGGGATCTATCTTAGCGAAGAGACGGCTCAACTTGGGACTTATCATTGAGCAAGAGATGGCCATGAGGGCCAAGCAGAGGCAGACGTCTCTACCATTCCCAGTCCTGATCATTGAGTTGTGTAGGCATGCCGGAGTACCCCGGGATGATGCGAGAGATACTGAGGTTACCCTTTCATCCTCTACTGACATCTGGCGCATTGAGGCCGAGTACACTCGAGAGGAGGCTGACAGGAGGAGGGCAGCTCCGATGGATACATCCCTGGAGATGGATATTGATTCGATACCTGCAGAGGCATCTTTGCATACTCCGGCCTCCAGGCCTTCAGGTACATTTGCCCCTTCTTCTTCTTCTTCACAGGCCTCGGGTGCCTCTACTTCGTCCCAGCCCGCTAAGATTACTCAGGCAATGATCCTGAAGATGGGACACTTGGCCTATTCAGCTGATGTGAGGGCGACCCGACTTTAGAGATCCATTCCATGGATGATTGAGAGTGCCATCATTGTTGCACTAACCCCCCTTCAGACTTCCATTGACACTCTTACCACGAGAGTTGAGGCTTGTGAAGACAAGCAGGGGGAGACCTCCGAGGTGACAACTTTGAAAGCTGTAGTAGCAAATTTGAGAAATGACGTAGACTATCTAAAGTCTACTGACTTCACTTCATTACTGGAGGCTACTGATGATGTAGACGCTCCTGATACTTCAAAGATTCCTCTAACTACCACCATAGATATACATAGGGATGGTACAACAATTAATGAGTCTGAGGCAGAGATCGAGGACGAGCTGATAGAGATAAGGGAGGAGAGAATATATGGAGATTTGCCAGATCTTGGGGAGACGATTGTGCAGTAGGTGGTCCAAACATTGCTGACATAGACATCCATGGGTGGGTCCAGTGGAGCTTGTCCTTCTTAGGTGACTCCGAGCACTGATGCCCAAGTCCCAAGCACTACACCGGGCACTGATGCCCTGACAGATGGAGCGACTGTTTAGACATGATCCCTCTTTACCTCCCTCTCTGTCTTAGTTTATTTTGACTCTTGGATATTATTTTGCTTGCATTTGAGGACAAATGTTTTTTATTTGTGGTGGGGTGAGGCCCACCTTTTGTGATGATTATTCTGTGTATATATTTGGGTTTTTGAGCTTTAAATTGTGTTAATACTGTATTATGTGGATGATTGAGCTTGTGGCTCTTTGTTTTTAATTGCAAATGATGTTTGGACCCCTCTAAAAAATTGTGTGCCACCTCTTGTTTGTGTTTGAATGTGGATGTTCTCTTGCAAATTTGAGTATCGGTCTTGATCAATACTGATGACTTGAATATTGCTCATAATCGAACAAAAATGAATATGCGGCTACGATGAGGCCACATGAAGTTGCATAGATAGTATGTGAACTTTTTGCATCTCGTTGTGACTAGCCAAGTATTGATTGAGTCTCTTGTGATGAACATTGCACACTAGCGAAAGTGTGGAGTCTTGTTTGACATTGGTGTCAATGCCTTGTGTGTGATGAGCTTACCGTGAACCATGTGTGAGGACACCTAGAATTTTCCCCATTGGTTTGGTTGACTAAGTGATGCAATCTCTTGATATGATCTAAGACAACTTTAAAAAGTGTGAAACAATCTGACATTATACCTCTTTTTGTGGCCTACCTTGTGAGTGTGTGAACTCCGCTTGAACACCCTTTGAGCCTTAACCTTTTCTTGGAAGAAACTTGATGAAATTGTGACCTTTCTTGATCCATTACCCATAATCCTCATGATTTGTGGTTTGTTTGAATAGCCAACTTAGGCCAAAAGCCTAAGTTGGGGCTGTGGTGAAAAGAGAAGGTAAATCAATAGATGCAAATAAGTCCCCTTGACCCATGATTTTGAGAAATATGGAAACCCTCCATACAAAAAAAAAGAGAGAAAAAGAATGAAAAAAAAAGTTGTGGAATAAAGTTGGGAAAATGCAAAAAGAAATGGGGTTTTCAATAGTCCATGGAAAGTAAATAATGGGGTAACTTGTGAGCACGGATGAAAATAATGAAGAAAATTAAAGAAAGTGTTCTTCACACCACATTTAATGAGGATTATAACCATTGAGCCTAAATGACCATACCTTTGCACTCAGCCCCGTTACAAGCCTTGAAAAGACCTTTTTGATCTTGAGTGAGCTGAAACAATTGTTGGTTGGAAAATAAGGGCAAACATATGGGTGAAATCATGCATTGTGTTCATGTTTGTGAGTGTGAGTGTTGCATTTGATTCCAGAGCTTTAAATTGTAAACCATTGTGTGTGAATATGGAATCATTCTTTGTGTGAGGGCATTTGAGTACCTTTGTTTAGCTTGAACTTGCATTTGAAGCAAGTATTGTGAACTTGAGAATCTTTGATAATGGTGAGTCACAACTTGAATCTTTGAGTGCACAATTGATCCTTGCATGATTAAGTTGAGTCTTTTTGTGTGCATTCATGATTGAGTCTTGTGTAGCACTGTTTGAGACATCTTTTTTGAACTGCTTAACTTGAGTTTTACTTGAGGACAAGCAAAAGTTTAAGTTGGGGGTGTTGATGAGTCCACAATTTGGACTCATTTAGGGCTTTATTTTAATAGATTTAGTGTCCTCAAATGCATATTTTGTGCCAATAAATGATGTAAATCCTTGATTTTCAGGTATTTCGTGTTTTTGGCATGCTCGAGAGAGAGGTTTTAAAACCAAGATTATTGATTTGACGGTCTATGGGTATTGGATTGTCATGGGTTCAACTCGAGAGAGTGAATCCTAAACCCTTTTCCACACATTCATCTCGAGAGAGTGAATGGACTAAAGCGTATGCTGTTCTTAATTGCTGCTTATTGGTGTTCGAGAGAAACTAATTTGATTCGGGGTAAATTGTTCGAGAGAAAGTTTATCAGCACTAAATTCTAGCTTATTCAGTAATGTACAACTATTTACTATCAGTTGCAATCACCCATTTGTCTACCTTAGCCCATAATCCAATCACATCCCAAGAATCCGTCTCTATACTTGTTATTTTCGTGTTATTTGCTGTTGTAGTTGATAATTACAATCAAAACCCCCTGTTATTTGACACTTGTGCACCCCAAACTTGAACCATGCTTTTATTCGTAATTTTTTCTTTACCTATGATTGACTTGAACATATTCATGTTTTTCTATTGATCCTCAAGTACGTACCACTCAATGTGGGATTCGACCCGAACTCACTTAGTTGGGTTATATTACTAACTAACTATCGTTGACACTTAGTATTGGATGAAGTCTCTTGTTACATGAAATCAGAAAGATATTTAGTTTCTTATACAATACTTGCCTTCCCAAGTATTAAGAGAGTTCAATTGTTAATTTGGGATCACTTAAGAAGACCACATAGTTAGAACTGGATTTGCTTCAAGATATCTGCACACACTTCAAGAGGTAATCCTTGAGTTAATTTTTAGCATACTTTGTATGTGGTACATATTTATGATTGTTGTCTATATTTATGTATGATGTATGATTCTGGAATGTTTCCACTATGTATGCTATTTTCTAACATAAACCACTATTTCTTCATTATACCAATAAGAAAATTACTTTCCAATGTAGTTGGTAAGGCTATTAGGATGTTCAAAGTGTTTTGCATCAGATGGAGCTCAAGGCATTGGCCCAACTTTGTCGAACTTCTTTTCACTATTCCTAAGAAACTACTTCAAGAAGCTGAAGGCTGACATATTGGGGAAAAACTTGTGTGTAGTTTCCCTCTGATTTCTTTTCATGGTTTTCAGATGATCAAAATGTCCTTAGATTCAAAAGTGGACATACCAATTAGGTTGCAATATGTAGTGATAGTGATACAACTATATATCGTCTTTTTGTGAGAGCAAGCACTCCAAGTTTTAAGTAATTCGAGTCACTCAGAAATAATTTTCCGATCAAGTAGTCCCTCTTGAATGATAAGTTAGGTATCAGAAAGTGGCAGCTGAAATCAGAATAGTAAGATGCAATATAATTAGAATTCAGCTGGCAATTAAAAGGAAAAGGGGTTTAATAATACTAGAGCTGACATTTTTGTCCATTCAAACAAAATATGCATAAACAGTACAATTTTCTAGGAAAAAAGTACAACTAATTCAAGCGAAGAGCATACTAAATGATCATTTTAACACTATAGTGAAAGAATACTGAAGAAAATATTTTATTTATAAAATCTTGAATTTTTTGTAAATTTCTATGTATTTTTGTATATTGAGAATAATTAACGACATCTATATTTATAATAGTAAGCAACCAAATTAAACTAGGACTAGAAAATATATATCCTATATGAACTAGGACAAAAAAATCATAACTAGACATTAATTAAATAAATACCAAAATAAGAAATCCTAAACAACCTAGGATTCCTACTCCAACTTTGAATTATTATTTCAACATTATCCTGTAATTCAACGTTGTATACTCTTGCCTTTTTCTTCTTGTCATTGTTGTTGTTTTGAAGTACTTCTCTTCAATAATCAATTGTTGGAGTACTGCTCTTCAATTATCATTTATTGTTTTCTTGCTTGTGTTGAAACACCTTCTCTACAACTTCCAAGTGGTTGAGCACTTTCTCTCCAACTCATGATATTTTTTTCTTGGTTGTGTTGGAGCACTACTCTCCAACTTCCAAGTGTTGGAGCACTTTCTCTCCAACTCACAATATTTTTTCTCTTGGTTGTGTTGGAGCACATCTCTCAAACTTACAAGGTTGATGCCCTTCCCACCAACACCTTTTTTTTTTGTTTTTTTTGTTGTTATTGGATCACTCTCTCTTCAACTCTCATTGATGCCCTTCCCACCAACTTCTTTTTTTTGTTTTTGGTGTTGGAACACTCTCTCTCCAACTCTCGTTGATGCTCTTCCACCAACTCCATTTTTTTTAACCTTTTACCAACTCTTAATTAGAGAAGAGTTTCTTTTTCTTGTTCCTCTTGTGCCACGTTTTCTTGGATCTCTTTAAAGTGGCAATCCTTTTGAAGGTGATCAAACTTTTTGTAATTAAAACACTTGGGTCTGGTGCTTATAAACCAACAATCATCCTCTGCATGATTGTTTTTCTTATATATACTGCAAGGTGGAATTTATTTTTATTGATTCACTTGATATTTCAGCAGCAAAAGTGTAACACCCCGTATGCCAGAAAGACCAAAATGTAGATTTTCAGAAGTTGCAGGTGTCACCAATGGAGGACACCTACGGACCGTAGGTGAGGTCTGTGGTTGGCAAACTCAACTCCCTCCCTAGAACCCCCAAACATTCCAGCCAAGTCATGACCTATGCCAGGGCCTACATAACGTAGGTTAGACCACGGTCCATGGTCCAGGCCATGGTTTAGACCCCCAGCTTTCAGCTCATAGACACCAAACGATGCACTGCCAGGACGGACCATCAATCAGTCCACAGTTCGTTGGTGAGGGGCAATTGGTGGATTTAGCAGATTTTAAGTGAGGGTCGTTTGGTCTTTTCCCCTATGCGTTGGTCACCTAAACTACGTCGTTTAACCCTTAAACTATGTCGTTTTGGTCAGTTTAAGCCTAGTAACTAAATCAAAACTTACCCTAGTCAATTCATTTACAAAAATTCAATCAAACTAGAGAAAAAGGAGAATAAACAGTCGACCAAACCCTTTCCAAGAACAGAACGAGTCTTCTTCAGTTCCAGCCCCGAAATCGAAAGATTTCTCCGTGAAATTTGTCACCAGGTATGTGGAATTTCACTAGTGGGTTCCTTTCATCCACCAGGTCCTATAATTCAGTCAGATTCTTGATTTTTTATATCATGATTAGACCTAGGGTTGCTAGAACCTAGAGAATTAT